GTTTGAAATGGTGCGTGTGTGTGTGTGTGTGTGTGTGTGTGTGTGTGTGCGCGCATGTGCGCTCATGTGTGTGATACTGTGATTTGTATTCAGGGCCTTGCACTTGCTAGACTAACTTGAATCACAGCCTCAGCTCCATTTTTCTTTTTAAGTATTTTTCAAATAGAGTCTCATACTTACGCTCAGGCAGGCCTGAACCATGATCCTTCTACTACTATTTATGTGTCTTATATAGTTGCTGTGGCAGGCCCAAATTTATTGACTGAGATGAGGTCCCTTGCTAACTTTTTTCACCTGTTTTTCTTCCCATGATAGCCTCATACCACAATCTTCCCATTCTTTACCTCCCAAATAGCAGGGATTCCAATTGTGCATCACCATGCACAGGTTGAAGTTTTCCATCATGTAAACTTAAAAGTTTGATTGGTCATTCATTATCTATATGGAAAGCTTTCCTGTATCCATTTCACATTTCCTATTTAATAGTAACCTCGCATCAGCTGGGTGCAGGCTCTGACCTAGGCCTTCTGTGAATGGCCCAGGGTGTGCTCCCCAGCGGCTCAGACAGCGTAGCAAGTTGTAACAGACAAGGATACAACCATGTCCTGTAGTGTCCAACAGCAGCATTTCAGCAGTGGCTGACATCTAGACCAGGCCAGCCTCTGTGATGTGTGCCAAGACCTGTTATCTTGGTTGATAGGAAGGTAGTTACTCTGAGGAGCTGCTCTTTGTGGGTACAGCCACCTTCAGTGTTTTGCTGCAGTAAAATCTTGCCCCACTAATCTAAAAGTAAACAGGCCACAGGAAGCCCCAAAACTCTGAAGTTGAAAAACGGACATTGAAGGTCAGCTCTCCACTAACAAGAGGCTTTAAAAAAAATAAAAATATTGTACTGAGATTTTAAAAAAGGCAAGGAGAACATTGAAAGGGGTTTTGTAGCAGAGAGACACATGGTGAATTTGAAACTTAGATTCATACGGGCTCAGTGGAGCAAAAGGGAAAGTGGCTGAATCTCTGGGGAATACACCTGTGAAATACACATCCAAGTCCCATCAGCTCCACTGAGGGCCCAAAGGGGAGAAAGAAGATGTCCCAAAAACTTTGTGATAGCACTTCCCATTACAGTTTGTGTCTCATTTCTCCAATCTTTTCTTGTCCTCAACAAAATCATCGGTTAGACTAGGATATGGGCTCAATTGTAGAGTATCCACCCAACAATTTTGAGGCCCTGAGTTCAAACCCCAATACCCAAAAACAGACAAACAAAACCCAAAACAGTTATTCACAGTTTGCCAGCCACTCAGCCAAACTGGCTCCCAGCTAATGTTAAATTCTTAAGAAACTGTGTGCTTTAATTAAGTCCTTTTTATCATTCTTTTGAGTTCTTGGAGGATGCGGGTGGGGGGTGAGAGGAGGGATGGCTAGTTCCCAGTGATCCAGCCACTTAGCTCAATTCCACCAACAAACTCACTATTACATCTAGATGTGCCCTCTGGGTCTTGCCCTAACCAGTAACTGCTCAGAATAGGTTACAGATCACTCTTCTTTAAAATACTCCAATGGAGCCAGGAATGGCGGTCCATTTCTGCAGTCTCAGTACTCGGAAGGCTGGCATCATAGGTCAGCCTGAGCTACCTAGCGAGACCCCATCTCAAACAAAGCATAGCAAAACAAAACAAAGCAACAACAAACTCTTGCCATGGAGTTTTGTATTTCTAGATGTGGAGACACCTGGGCCCCTCCCGTGGGAGAGCCGCCTGGTCCAGCACCCACAGCTCAGCCACTCACAGCAGCCCAGCCATCTGCAGCAGGCTGTGGCTGGTGGCTCAGATGGCCGCTGCTATAGCTGACGCGGCCCCACCCTGTGCCATCACTGCAGGTTTCAATGAGGAGGCAGGTCTGTCCGCCCCCCACCAAACACACCTGATGCCACTTACCAGGAGCCTCAGGGGGACGCAGCCGGAGCAGCAGCAGCATTTAGTGGCCCTGGCTCGTGAGAGATGACATTAAGATCGCATTAAGCTCTGCAAGAGTTTTCCTGAGTTCTTAAACAGTGCAGAATTGCACACTGATGTGTTGAATCAAGTTAAAATGAAAGGGATGGAAAATCATCCCTGGGGACCAAGTTACTTTAGCCTAAAAACATAACAGTTAGTGAAGTGTAAAGCGTAAAGTGTAAAATCCTAAATTCAACCCCTTGTTAAACATAACGTCACTGCTCCTCAGTGGCTACACAGAAGCTCACTGACAGGGCAGAGGACTGCGAGGAACAAGTGTATGTGATTTCCTTAAACTAACTGTGTGATTTTGTTATTGCTGAGTTAATGAGACTACACTGATGCTCCCTCACCTCCCCCGCCCCACCCCAACAGCTTTCCAGCTGTTCTAAAAATATTTGATAAGCCTAAAGTGTTTGATAAGATACCGAGGCCCTGAGCGTTAGGACACAGACATGCGAACCCCTCTGGGCACCTGCTGGGAAACATGCTGCTTTCCCCATGAGTGAAATAAAGGGGAAGAAGAGAGAGGCTCCTGTTCCCTGTTCCCAGGCTCTTCATCCCCAGTACGATTAAAAAAGAAAGAAATGATCAAAGACAACTCTCTGGGACACAAACCAGAAATTCTGTCTGGAATGTGTCTCTGCACATTTCAAGTAAGGATTTGGTAGTCCCAAGCCAGGAGCCTCTCCATGGGTATTCCATGATGTGGGTCAAATGAAGAAACAGGGTGGGGTTGTGAAGTCCCAGGCACTGGCTGCAGATCCACCTAAAGGCTGCAGTGGCCAAATGCCTCTTGATGCTCCCATGCTCACTTTGCCAGTCCTCACCCCTTGTGAGGTTGCCCTCTCCCCTTTGTCTAGCACACAGTTAGGGCTCCATAGATGCCTGTAAGTCCTCCTGAGCTTCGGACCACAGCCGCTCACCTGTCCCTATGAACCACACTTCCTGGGGTTATAAGTCCATGGCCCTGTCCTCACCACCCCAAGCATACTGTGTGACCCTCTTAAAGCACCAGCACACCTCCCAGGGATTTGGAGAATAATTATTTGATAATATAGATAATTAATAAATACCTGTTTCTCCCACTATACTAGAAGGACTTTGACGGCCCAGTCTCCAGACACAGAGCAGATGCTCAATACATAAATATGGGATGAATGGGGAATATTCCCACTTTCTGCCCCACCCCCCACTCCCTGTGGCAGGCCACTCTGAGGGCATGAGATCTCTGAGCGCCAGTGATCTCTGTTGGTACTGGGATGAAAACTGTGGCATCAAAAGACCCTGCTGCATGGCTCCAATCCTAGAGGCCACATTCCTGCATGGCTGTCTAACCTAGACAACTTCCACGCACGCACAGAGCCCTTCACTAACATCTTTCGCTCTTTTGAGGGACAGGGAAAAGACAGGGGTAGGGAGAAGAGGAGAGGAAGACAGGCCTATAGGACCCAAAGTGTCACTTGCCAAGTCACTATGCCCCTGGTGATGGTGATAAAATTGATCATGTCTCTATCACCTAATTTCCTCCCTAGAACTAAGGCCTTCAGCCAGGAATCCAGCATCACAGAAACATGGATTGTGAAACTACTAAACTGAATCTATAGAATCATATTTTCCCATCACCTATTATGTATCATCAAACATAAAATAACTATAAACAAGCCGGTTGCCCGTGGCTCACGCTTGTGAGATTTGAGGATCATGGTTCAAAGCCAGCCTAGGCAGAAAAGTCCATGAGACTCTGATCTCCAATAAACCACTTGAAAACAGGAAGTGGTGCTGTGGCTTAAGAGGTAGAGCACTCGCCTTGAGCTGAAGAGCCCAGGGACAGCGCCCAGGCTGAGAGTTCAAGCCCCATGACCGACAAATAAATGAATAAATAAATACATATAAGCATGAAAATAACTAAGGTATAACATAAATCATAATAGTTATACAGGCCAACTTTATTTTAGTTATACCCTTGAAAACTGTATACTTTTGATGATAGAAAGTAAAAACCATATAATAGTAAAACTTGAAAGAATTGCCAAATTCTGTGTTTTTCTTAGAAAAAGTCCACTTTTAAACTTGAATGATCTTATCTTTGGAGCCTAACAAAATATTTTCTTTGAAAACATAGTGGTTTTAGCTGGGCACTCACACTTATAATCCCAGCCTCTCGGGAGACTGAGATTTGAGGACTGCAGTTCAATGCCAGCCTGGTCAGGAAAGTCCATGAGACTCTTATCTCGAACAAATTACCTCCCAAAATAGCCCTGTGGCTCAAATGCTAAGAGTACTAGCCTTAGAAGCTTAGGGACAGTACCCAAGCCCTGAGTTCAACCCAGTTCCCAGGACTGGCACACTTGCATAAGCGTGCACACACACACACACACACACACACACACACACACACTTAAAATGAAGCCAGTTGTTGGTGGCTCACACCTGTAACCCAGGCTACTCAAAGGCTAAGATTTGAGTATCACAGTTCAAAGCCAGCCTAGGTAGGAAAGTCCATGAGACTCTTATCTTATCCAACCACCAGAAAACTGGAAGAGGCACTGTGGTTCAAAGTGGTAAAGTGCTAGCCTTGAGCACAAAAGCTCAGGAACAATGCCTAGACCGTGAGCTCAAGTCCCACAACCAACAAATAAATTAATAATGTTAAAAACTAGTGCTTTAAAACAGTCTCTTCTAAAAGCTATACATCTTCTCTGGTTGTTTATTACACAAATAAGATTCAGAGATATTAAGAATATCAACTTTTTTAACTAAAAAAGTGAGCTTGTCTTGGCGTTAAGATTGCCTCTAAAATCCCCGACTTTCTGATTGATGCAGTAACTGGATTTAACCAGTCTCTAAGTTCTTGGAGATAGTGCCTGTGACCTGTGGGCCACTGGATCACTTAGCTCCTACTCATCCTACACCTCAGTCCAGGCAGGACCAAGAGCCATTCATGTATGACCAACATCAAGCATCAACCTTGCAGAAGAAAACAGCAGCCACCAAGAACCATTGTGATCCAGTGATAATTTAGGACTTTATTTGCATTTTTACTTACTATTATTTCTTGCATATGGCTTGCCAACCCTTCTTGTTTTAACAAGAGACATTATTTCATCACAGTCTACTGAATTCAGTCATCTATTTTGCAGCCATTAAGGTGTTGAGAGCCCTCCAGGGAGACTAGATGGCGGCCAAGTTGTTTGGGATTTGCAAGTCCATTTTGGAACCCAGCACTGGTGCTGGGAAATCTCTCATTGAACTTATTTTCTCTTCCTGGCCTCCTTCCCACCCTACTCACACCACTCAGGATGCTCCTTAGATGGTTTCCTCTGCCTGTTGAAATGAAGGCCTTCCTTTGGAGGAAAGAATAGGTGGTAGGGTGGATGGAAGCAGGTGAAATCCCTGCTCTTGGATCAGAAGCAGAAGGTTTCTTACATGAGAGAATTTGAAACAGTACTAAAGTCCTAAAGGAGAATTTTTCACAGGCCAGCATGATCTTTACCAGTCTGACACATTCTGTCCTCATCTTCCTTTCTCTCTCTCCCACTTTCAGTGACATCTGCTGAGCTGTCTGGGCTGTTCTTCTGTCTAACTGCCAAAGGTCACAACAGAGAGCACACTCCAGGCAACAGGTCCCAATGACTCAAACACGCAATCCCTTAGCATCAGTGTCTAGCGAGGGAGAGCGTATATTTCCTCATAGGGGGGAGGAGAGAAGCGGGCACGGTCCTCCTCTTGAAGCTGGGCCTCTTCCAGCCGATCAGCTCCTGGCCTGGGTCTGAAATGTAAGCAGAAAACACAGGTGCCTTACAGCCTAATGCATCACTTACCCACCCAGTGCCACCATTCCAGGAAGCACGCTGCATAGACATTGACATTCAAAACCGTCTGCGTCATAAACCACACCAGATGTTGACCATGACAGAGAGGGGAATCCCAATATACAGCATACCTGTCATCTTCACCTTCTGTAAAAGGAGGGCAATCCTCGTCCTGCACAAACACAGTGTTATCTTGAGGGTAGATGGTATAGTACTGAGGGGGGCTTGGCGTGGTGGCTGCAGCCCCGCCAGGGGCTAGGAGACCACAGGGGTTCACCATGGGCTGCAGGTAGGTCGTGCTCACCCCCATCGGCTCTTGAGAACCATAAGGAGGAGGGATGTACTGTACCACAGTGGCCCCGTGGAAGGTGATGGGCTGATTGATGCCAGTGAACACGAACGATTGTCCTCCTGAGGCTTGCTCCGAGTCCAGAACCCTGTCCTCACTTTCTTTGCACAACTGGCAGGAGAGCATTTTGAACTTGCACACGGCAATCAGGATGAATGTCACCCCAACCGAGAGCAGGATGGGCCCGAGAAGCTGGGTCCATTCAAAGTGGGTTATACCTTGATACTTGATCCAGCCCATGACGGTGAAGGTGATTCCTACCAGTCCCAGAAAGATGCCTGAGAAGAGCAAGGTGGCCCCTGCCTTGTCGTCATCGGACACCTGGATGTCAGCAGTACTGGGTGTGTAGGGAGTGACCGAGAACACATTGAGAGGGAAGTCCTCCAGGCGGCTGCTGCCATGTTCCATGGCTCCCCACACCAGTGTCGGCTTCTTAGAGGTGACAGGGACTGTGTGAGCGAAGGACTGGCAGGCTCAGGTTAATCGTAGACCTTTGGGCTTCTGTGTTTAACAGAGTATAACAGGCAGAGGGATGGACTTTGTTTAGAAGAATAAAGGTCTGGGAAGCGAAGCCTAAAGTTTTGTCACAGATTACCAGCAAGTGGAGATATCCACTCTGCAAGCAGTGACAAGCTATCTTTCTAATTCACAATCACACAGTCATTCACAAAAACACATAGGAAGCTGATCTTATGCCAGCAGGTGAGACTGGCACAGCCATGTGAGGTTCTGCGATATGGGCCTGTGTTTGTCCTGCCACATGGCAGTTTCCTCTGGCTATAGAGAGGGACTTTGATGTGTCTGCCCCACCTCAGAATCCCACCCTGACATGCCTACTGGGTCAGTTCAAGAGAAATAGGTGGACACTGGCTAGGATACGGCTCAGTGGTAAAGCATTTGCCTAGCAAGCATGAAGGTATGGTTGATGCTCCAGCACCAATAAAATAAAATAAAATAAAAATAAAAACAGAAAAGAGTAGTAGATACTTATTTATTGACTATATTCATATTCTATTCAACCTCTGGTTGTGATCATATTTGTCTTGGTCTATTTTCTGTTGCTGCTAAAGAAGACCACAGACTTAATTTTTAAAGGAATTTATTTCTTATACTTCTAGAGGCCCCCAAGTCTAATTCCAAAGCACCAGTTTCTGGTGCGGGCCTTCCTGCAGCACCATAATAACATGGCAGGAGGCATCATGGGGTGGAGGCGCTCAGCTCTCTCCTTACAAAGCTACGAATCCCAGCTTGGGGCCCCACCCTGATGATCTCCTTTGTCCCTGATTGCCTCCTAAAGTCCTCACCTCCAGATACCTTCAACAGAAGAGGAGATTAAGTTTCCAGCATATGCGTTTGGGGGAGGACACATCCTTAAATTTAAACAATACTTTAACAACTGTTCGCACAGAGCCCAGAGATACTGTTCTTTCCTGGAGCAACCCCGTGTTCCTTTTGCTTTTTGCATTTGGGGTATAATTCTAGCTGGAAGAAAGGAACGGCACCCCAGGAGAACTCTCTGCACACCACATCAGTGGCAGAGGTTGCATAAGTGTCACACATCACATCACATGGCATTGCCAGGACATGCGCTTTGGACCCTCACACACACCAGTGCCCTTTCACCCTCCCCCCTCCCGTAGTTTCTAATGTCCAAGGTGAGACAAATAACTGCCTTTTGTAGCTTGCTATGCTTTTTGACCAAGTCCAAGCTGACTTAGAGAAGATATTTTGATTCTCATTGACATTATCCATCATTCATGACTCCAGAACTTCCAAACAACCAGCCTTCCACCATGATTGAAGAGAGAGCTGTAGCCTTCTTCCTTCCCTGGGCAGATCTTGTCCAAGCAGATGCTTCTCAGTGGTTAAATATTAGATCAGCTTCTTTTTGCAGACTGGAGAGGGCAGCCCTTTTGCCCAAGGCCTTCATCCCATGATAAAATATCCCATGATAAAATATTCTTGCTTTTTTTTTTAACCAGTGTTGGATATTGAGCCTTGCATGCTACATAAGCACTTTACCACTGAGCTACTATACCCAGCCTTGGATCACTTTTCTAAAAAGCACAATCTAACCTGGCACCAAAGTCTCACAGCTAAAAGCCTAGCTATTCAGGAGGCTGAGATCTGAGCATAGACATTCAAAGCCAGCTTGGGCGGACAAATCCTCAAGAGTTTTCAATTAACCAGCTAATGCTGAAACTGGAGGCATGTATCGAGTGTCAGAACCAGCTGTGATTAAAAAATAAAAACAAGTAAGAGTAAGAGGCCCTGAGTTTACATTCTTGTGTGGATATACACACACACGCACACACGCGCGCGCGCACACACACACACACACAGAAGAAGGAGGAGGAGGAGGAAACGGAGGAAGAGGAGGAGAAGGAAGAAGGAGAAGGAGAAGATGAAGAAGAAAAAGATGAAGAAGAAGAAGAAGAAGAAGAAGAAGAAGAAGAAGAAGAAGAAGAAGAAGAAGAAGAAGAAGAAGAAGAGATGAAAATAAAAAAGGAAAGAGTGAAGAAAGGAAGAGAAGGAAGGAAGAGAGGGAAGGAAAAGATAACCCAGCTCAAAATACCTAAGGGACAAGATCAAACACTCTTATCACTGGAGAATCTTAGGAAATCCTAACCCAAGTAAATCAATCTCAAATGGTTTTAGAGACTTTTTTCCCCCACCAAAATGTTTGGAAACTCCAGCTTCAATGTCAAGCAAACCAGTGACACCTCGGGGCTTCACCAAGCTGCCCGGCAGCTACCCAGCCTTGAACAGGAACAGGTCCTTTCCCACTGAGCTGGGGAAGAGCAGGAGAACCAGATTCCACTTAATCAAAAAGTTTCACAGGAAGTGGCATTGGGGCCCAAGTGGTAGAGTGCTCACCTTAAGGTGAAGAGCTGAGCACAGCACCCAGGCCCAGAGTTCAAGACCCACGACTGACAAAAAAAAAAAAAAATCTATTGCCCGGAAGTGGCACTGTGGCTCAAGTAGCATGCTAGCCTTGAGCTGAAGAGCTGCAGGATAGCGCCAAGGCCCAGAGTTCAAGCCCCACGACTGCCCCCCCAAATGTTTTACAACTAATTAAAGATAACAAAATATAATTTAAAAGAATAAAAATAAAACAAAAAATGTTCTGGACAGTTAGCCTGACATTCTTTTCCAGCTCTTCCTTGACATTAAAAAAAGCTAGGCTCTCAATATTGTTTTTCCAAAACACTCAGTGTATGTTCCTTGTTTACCTGTGGCTACTATATACATTATATAATAATGAATATATATATCAGATAAATAAAGATGATAGAGATAGTAGTTTCTCTCATATTGCTTCTGTGTCTTTGGAAAATCCTAATATACAAAGATACTTGAATGTTTATGGCTAAAAGTGGAGGTCATGATGCAGATCTCTGGATTTTTTTTTTAGAGATCAGCCTTTTTACTGGTTATTCTTCTCTTTTTGAAAAACAGCTCATGATTTCTTTCTGGTTCCTGATAGAAATGAAATTTACCATGAGATCTAATATGATGTGGCTGCCTTTTGTGGATGGGATGTATCTAACCCATAAAGCCCTGAGTTGGGGCATACATAGCAGTAATTCGTCATCAAGTGTATCTGGTATTTAAGGAAGGGCACAAGCTGCTGGGTGTTAGTGGCTCACACCTGTAATCCTAACTACTAGTGAGGCTGAGATAGGAGGATGGTGATTTGAAGCCAGCCCTGAGTCTGTGAGCCTTTTTGTTGTTGTTGGTGGTGGTGGTGGTGGTGGTGGTGATTATAGGGCTTGAACTCTGGGCCTGGGCGCTCTCCCTCAACTCTTTAGCTCAAGGTGAGCACTCTCACTTGATCCACAGTACCACTTCTTGTTTTCTGAGTGGTTTATTGGAGATAAGAGTCTCACAGACTTTCCTGCTCAGGCTGACTTTGAAGTACGATCCTCAGATCTCAGCCTCCTGAGTAGCTAGGATTACAGGCGTAAGCCACCGGTGCCTGGGCTCTGTGAGACTCTTATCTCTTTAACAAAATAAAATAAACAGGGCACAAGCGCTACAAGTACTTCAAAAGCTGGCAGTTTATGTCTTTACACTTTTCCATACTGTGGCTATTGTTTGAAGTGTGTCCCCCCAAGAGGCATGTGTTGGGGGCTTGGTCTTCAGTGTAGTGACGTTGAGAGGTAGGTCCTAAGAGGGAGGGTCTTTCAGGAATGCATTGTGTTCTTCCAAGAAGCTTGAGAGAGTGGGCTGTTATAAGCAAAAACCCCACCGGCCTCTCTCATGCTTGCTTGCACATATGATACTTCTCCACAAGGCCTATTCCTTTTCTGCTTCTTCGCCATGTTGTGATATAGCCAGGGTATGTTCACAGGATACTAGTACCATGCAGGTTGGACCCACTAAGCCACCAGAATCATGAAACAAATAAATAAATCTCTTTAATTTATAAGTCATCCAACCTCAGATGTTCTGCTAAAGCAGCATAAAATAGACTAAGGTACACTTTCTACCTTGTGTTTTCTCCTATAAACCAAACCTAAAGGAATTCATCATAATTAGTGGACTGAGGAGAAAATACTTAAAACTAGTGTACATGATATTTTGCATAAAAGTAGACCATTGCCACATGATAACACTAGTCAAAGCTGTCCCCAGAAGATACTAGATATAGAATTGAACAGACATCCAACCAAGCAGAATTTCAAGCAATTATTTTGTCCATTTTTTTTTCTGAGCTGGAAGAAAGTTATTACAAGCACATACTGGCATTGATTCACAAACAGTGAGGATGGTTTGGCTGGATGTCAGGGATCTGGAAAGAACCAGATAGAAATGTGAGCAACGGGGATGGGTATGTGGCTCAGTGGTAGAGTACTTGCCTAACATGCATGAAGGCTCAGATTCGATTCTTCAGTACCACATAAACAGAAAAAGCCTGAGGTGGTGCTGTGGCTAAGTGGTAGAGCATTAGCCTTGAGCCAAAGAAGCTCAGAGACAGTGCCCAGACCCTGAGTTCAAGCCCCATGGCAGGCAAAAAAGAAAAGAAAAGAAAGAAAGAAAGAAAGAAAGAAAGAAAGACAGGCAAAAAAAAAAAAAAAAGGAAAAAAAGAAATGTAAGTAACAAGTAACAGCAGATCTGTGAAGAAACCCATGATATCTTTAGGCACAAAGCCTAAAGACAAAGCAAAGGAGCTCAAAAGATGGGAGCCAAGAGGGCTGGGAAGGTGGCTGAGTGGTAGAGTGCTTGCCTTGCATGCCTGAGGCCCTGGGTTTGATTCCTCAGCACCACATAAGCAGGAAAAGAAAAGCCGGAAGTGGTGTTGTGGTTCAAGTGATAGAGCGCTAGCCTTGAGCTGAAGAGCTGAAGGACAGCGCCCAGGCCCAAAGTTCAGGCCCCACGACCGGACCAAAAAAAATAAAAAAGATGGGAGCCAAGTTGGCTACTGTCCTTTTGGGTGCCTACTCTACCAAAGGCAGAGACCATACTGAGTGCCCAGTGTGGCAGGATGGTACCACACTCGCAGAGGATCATGACTGAACATTCATAGAATAGCTTGTCATCAAGAAGCTAAGTCCCTGGTGTCATTGGCAAGCTGGAACTACTCTCTGATCTCCCCGTCAGTCTCTCAAATACTCCGAAATATTCA